CGAGGGAGAAGGGGGTCCCGGACGAGGTCCATCAGAACCAGATCTTGCGGGAACAGTGCCTCCGAGAGCTACGAACCCAGAAGCTCTACACGCAGTATCACGTGAATCCCCTGCGAAAGGTTCACACGATCGCCAGGAAGCCCATGTCCTGGCATGACAACCTGGAGGAACCTGCGGATGCCAGGTTTCTGCATCTCATCCACCACGCTTCCCAGGGACCCAGGAAGAAGTACCCAGAGACACAGACTGAAAGCCAGGAAATTGGCTGGGACTCAGATCCCCTGGTCAACCCCGAACGCCAGGACAGCAGGCTGAACCACTTCAGGGTCTACAATGACATCACTCTATACAAGGCTAAAATGTGGAGCTTGGGAGAAGGTGATCGCCACAAGTAGAATCCCAGCGCTGGAGTCAGTAGCTGGATGTAGTGCCCAGAGAATGCGCTACCCAGAGAAATCACTTCCACTTTAAAGCCAAAAATAAAGGCAATTCAGTTTTAGATATTGGAATTTTGTGGTGTGTTTTTTTTTCTCCCCGGATTTCCCCCCCATTTTCAATTCTGTTGCGATACAGGTGAGTGCCATGAGAGTAGCCACGTTGTACTGTGACTCTGCCTCCGCCACCACAATCTCTGGGACCGGGGATGGTTCTGGAATCAGGTAAGAATCATTTAAATGCAGATGTATCAGGATCTTATTGTGGGTTGTTATTGCAAGTACCTTGACTCAAACTGACTTGAGCAATAAAGAAGATTTATTAACTCATGTAACAGGAAGCTCAGAGGTAGGATGCGCTTCAGGGATGGTTTGGTTTAGAGGTTCCGTAATGTCATCAGTCACCTGGAATCTTTTCGTCTTTTCACTCTGCTTCTTGAGTGTCAGCTTCATCCTGTCTTCCTCTCCCCAACTCACCAAGGTGATCACTTGTTTTAATCCGTTATAGATTATAAAGAACCAATGAGGCCAGGCGCAGTGGCTCATGCTTATAATCTCGGCACTTTGAGAGGCCAAGGTGGGAGGATTGCTTGAGCCTAGGAATTTGAGACCAGCCAGTCTTTACACAAAATGCTTAAAAATTAGCCAGGCTGGTGGCATGCACCTGTAGTCCCAGCTACACACGAGGCTGAGGTGGGAGGATTGCTTGAGCCCAGGAGTTGGAGGCTTTGGTGAGTTGTAATTGTGCCACTGCACTCAGGTCTGGGTGACAGAGTGAGACCCTGACTCAAAAAAAAGAAAGAAGGAAAGAAAGAAGGGGGATGGAAAGGGAGATGGAGAAAGGGGGAAGGGGAGAGAGGGAGAGAAAAGGACCAATGTAACTGTAACCGGGGAATATGATGTCATGATTAGCCAAGTCCTGTGTTTAGAGCCTCAACAAGCCTGAAATTCAAGATAGAGTTGGCTTCCTTCAATGATCTCAACTGTTTCACAGAGATATAGACAACGCAAAGGAAATTAGGTTAGTTGCAAAGAGGAGTGGATGTCAAGGAGGCAATCACAACAAAAGAGAGGGGCAGAAGTCAGATGGGAGAAGATTAAACAGTGAATGAGGGTGAGAGTGGAAACAACACACAGAGAGAACTCTCAAGAAGTCTGGAAAGGAGTAGGAAGACAAAGTGATAACTGGATGGAGATGTAGAGGCAAAGGAGGGGTGTTCGTTACTTATTTTTACAAGAGGAGTTACCAGGGAGAGTCTGAACACCAGTGGGGGCGGGCAGAGCTCAAAACACATCGAGAAATAAGGAATGGAGCAAAGTCTCCTTGAAGATGAAAGGAGTTGGGGTCCTAAGTAGGTGTGAGGGCTTGACTTTTACTGGGAAAGGGGGCAGAGTGACTGAGAGGACTAACTCTGAAATCTATGGATCTGGGTGACTTTGGCTAAGTTCATCTCTCTGCGCCTGTTTCCTTGGATTTTAAAGTGGGGATAATAAGCTGGGTGTGGTGGCTCACGCCTGTAATCCCAGCACTTTGGGAGGCGGAGACTAGAGGATTATCTGAGCCCAGAGAGAGGTTCAAGAGCCCAGCCTGGGCAACTTGGTGAGACCTCATCTCAACAACAAATTTAAAAAATTAGCTAGGCGTGTGACGCACCCCTGTAGTTCCAGCTACTTGGGAGACTGAGGTGGAAGGATCACCTGAGTACAGCAGATTGAGGCTGCAGTAGCCTACACTCCAGCCTGGGTGACAGAGTGAGACTCTGACTCAAAAGTAAAATAAAATAAAATTGGGCTGATGCTCTTACTGCACAGGGTTGTTATGAGGATTAAATGAGATAATGTCTGTCAATGGCTCAATATTTTTTAACTTTCTTCAGATCTTCCCTCTTCCCCTTCCAACCCCAGTCAACTCTACAAATTCATTTTAAGCCCAATGACAAATATCTGGTTAAATATTGAACTGTCTTTTGGGGCTGTGGGACCAATAACACACTGAAGGAAAGGGAGAGGGAAGGAGGGAGAAAGGTGTTGGGAAATCAGGTACTTTTGAGTTGTCACAGCTGTGGGGTGTGCTTCTGGCATTCAATGCCCCTTGAAAAACTCTGTTGACTCTGTTTAGTAGGAAACTTCAGCTGGGCCAGTCTTTCAAGTTCTGTACCATTGCACATATTGGAGTCCAGGAATGGTCCCAGTGGCACTTTACAAGAGGTGGCTGGATGGGACAGATGCTGCAGTGTGATCTGCTGACATCTTGGAGTGGAGAGTGGGGGGAACTTGGCAGCTTTCCTTACCCTTCCCTGAAGTAGCTCCTAGGACTCGGTGTCCTAGTTCATAGCACGTACCCAGTAGGTATTGGGTGTGGCATATACTTACGTGTTAGGGAGACTCAAGAGGGCTTTCCCATTTCCACATCTTGGAAAGACTGTGTTAGTGTTTTCCTGGAAGGAAATGCTATGATCTGTTATGTACTTATGGAACCTTTGAAGAGACCCTATGGCCATATAAAACATATCATTGCCCTTCACCTTAGATGAGTTACAACATCAGGAACTATAAAATCTACATTATTATTTTCACACTTTGAGTGTAGAATTTATGGATTTTTTTTTTTTCTATTTCTTTTCACACCATCTGATGCCATCATCAGAAACAAAAGTCTACGGCCGGGCATGGTGACTCATGCCTGTAATCTCAGCACGTTTGGAGGCCAGGGTGGGAACATCGCCTGGGCTAAACAGCGAGACTCCCATCTCTACAAAAAATTTTGAAAATTATCTGGAAAGGGTGGCACACCTGTAGTCTCAGCTACTCGGGAGACTGAATCTTTTGAATCGTTTGAGTCCAGGAGGTCAAGGCTGCAGTGAGCCATCATTGTGTCGCTACACTCCAAACTGGGTGACAGAGCAAGACCCTGTCTCTCAAAAAGAAAGAAAAGTCTATATGTAGTCAAGCATTCTCATTGCAAAAGACCACATTTTCTTTTTAATTAAGGTCAATGAAAGAAAGCTGTGGTGAAGTTTCAGCATAAGAAAGGTGTGACTACTTAAAACTGTTAAATGGAAATAAGAGTCATATCTAAATTTACTGCGGCTGCTGCAAGGGCAATTCAAAGTCTTGCAGCTCTTCTTGTGAATGATTCCTGGAAAAGGAGAAGCAAATCGTTCATGCTTGTCCCAGGAACACCTCCTGCCAAACGCTGGTGCTCAGAGATTGTTAACTTGTCCTTGATAGTCTACCTTAACTCATGGAGAGGTTCTACCATGTTTGTTTAGTTTTCTTTGCATTTCTACTTTTTATCCTTGACCAGGCACATCGTGAAATTGTAAAAATTCCCTTGTGGCATAAGAGCAATGACTAACCAACTTACAAATGTGTGAGTACTTATATAAATTTAGAAATGTAAACACACATCTTTCACTGACTTTCCACTAATAGCTGATACAATCTCTAAGATAAATTATTTTAAATTGTCAAAAACCTTAAATTACATGGACCCGAAACTACCTTTCCCTGACAGCACTGGGAAGGAGAGCTATAAATTAAGGCTGGCCCTTTAATTTGTTTTAGATTTCTTCTGGTTTACACACACAAAAAGAATAATTGGGCATTTGACTTATGAATGTGATATAGCACTGTGTGTGTGTTTTCTATTTATATTCACATTGTGCTCTCCTCAAATAAGAATGAAATAAGATATTGACCCCGTGGGACAAAATATATAGTATGAAAGCAAGGTAAATAATGGTTATGGAGACATGCAATTCCAGGAAGCAAGTAACAACTTTATCCCTTCCAAAATATTTCTATCCATCTGTGCAATAAATGTTTATTTAGTACCCACAATGTGCCAAGTACTGGGCTACATGCCAGGAATAGAGTTGAGTAAGACACGGGCCCTCGAGCAACTCACTGCTAGTTAGCAAAAGATATTTACTGACATATTTTATGCTGAGCCAAGGGACTAGATTACTGGCTCTTACTAGAGCCAATATCAAACCCTTCATGTAAATATCATAGAACTCCATAGACTCCACCAGCCAGTCAGCCACAGACTGATGAAATAATGCTAAGTAAAGCTCTGTATTGTCCATTAGTATGGAAGTATGAGCCATATCCAGGAACCCGTGAAACTGTCTTAGATGCTGTGACTCATGCAGTTTGTCTAAAATACCCAAATGTCGGAACCTGCCCAGGGGATCACTCATCATATCTTACAGTTGCAGATTATTTCCCAGAGTATAAAACACTTTCACATATGCTTTTAATACCTACATACACTGGGTACGATGGCATACACCTGTTATCTTAGCACTTTGGGAGGCGGAGGTGAGACAGTTGCCTGAGCCCAGAGGTTCAAGACCAGCCTGGGCAACTTGGTGAGAGTTCATCTCTACAATAAATAAGTAAATAAATTCTCTGGATGGGGTGGCACCTGCCTGTAGTTCCAGCTAATTGGAAGACTGATGTGGAAGGATTACCTGAGTCCAATGGGTCAAGGCTGTGGTAACCATGAGCATGCAACCGCACTCCAGCCTGGGTGACAGAGTGAGGCTCCAACTCAAAACAAACAAACAAACAAACCAAAACAGTTCTAATATATGGGTAGGGCAGCCATGATGATTCTCCATATTTTGCAGATGAGGAAACTGGGATACTTCATAAAGACATGATTTATCAAAGTTACCAAACCAGCAAGGAACCAATGGCAGTGTAAGATAAACTTGTTTGTCTTCAATTGTATGTCCTGTAACTCCCCAGAGAGCATAGTTCTTCCCTTCTTTTTTTTTTTTTTTTTGAGTTGGAGTCTCACTCTGTCACCCAGACTGGAGTGCAGTGGCCACTCCCAGCCACTGCAGCCTCAACCTGCTGGGCTCCGGCGATCCTTCTGCCTCAGCCTCCCAAGTAGCTGGAACTACAGGTACGCGCTACCACGCCTGGCTAATTTTTTTGATTTATTGTAGAGATGAGGTCTCGCCAAGTTGCCCAGACTGGGCAACTTAGAATCCACACGCTCAGGCAATCCACTCACCTAGGCCTCCCAAAATGCTGGGATTACAGGCTGAGCCACTGAG